TAAAGGCCTTCATTTGAGTAGAACTAAGACTGAATACATGGAATGTAATTTTAGTGGAATGTAATTTTAGTGTAATTTTAGTAGTAGTAGTAGCTTTAGTGATAGAGTTGTAACTATGGTTGATCAAATTATTAAAAGGTATGAATGTTTTAGGTATCATGGGTCTACTGTTCATAGTAATGATGATATAGATGGGGATGTTATCAGTAGAATTCAAGTTAGTTGGTTGAAGTAGAGGAATGCTTCGGGCCTATTGTGTACTGGAAAAGTACCGCTTAGACTGAAAGAAAAATTTTATAAGATGATGGTGGGGTCTGCAATGCTCTATGACGTAGAATGTTGGCCTTTAAAAGAGAAGCATAAAACTAAGTTAAGTGTTGTCGAGATGAGAATGCTTACTTAAATGGATGAGCGACTTTAAACTTAGAGACAAATTCCAAAATGTGAAATGAATATATTCGTGATAGGGTTGGTGTAGCTCCAGTGACAGACAAAATTAAAGAGAATTGTCTTAGATGGTTTGATCACATTAAATGTCAACCATCTGATGATCCAGTTAGAAGAGTAGATGTTTCAGATTCAACTTATGTCAAGAAAGGCAGAAGTAAACCTAGAAAGACTTGGGTAGATTGTATAAAAAATTATCTTAATTTATTAGAATTATTAAAAATATGACACTCAATATGATGCAATGAAAAAAAGGATTAATGTAGACGTCCCCAATTAGTGAGATAAGGGCTTATTTTTGCTTTTGTTGTATTGTATGGTTAGTCAAATCCAATCCATCACAAACCCATGTAAAGTTCCAAAATTCTACTAATCCTATCTATGCTTTTTTATTTAAACAACATTAACAATTTATAATTTCATGATGTGGGACTAAAATGTACATTAACACACAACATTCCATGGCAAAGCTTTAGATTAAGGGCATTTAGATATATACCACTCAATTTCAATATATTTACATGTCTGACACCTAAATTCTATTTTTACATTTATACCACCCAAAATCATTCGTATCACATAAAAAATATCATTATTTTAATTTTTAAAAAGTAAAATACACTTTTATGCACGCGTAAGTACATGTACTATAAAATTAAAGTTCAGGTGTTAAATATGTAACTAAATAAGAATTGAATGGTATTGACATAAATCATTCAAAATAATATAAAAATAAGAAGAGGAATAGTTCAAAGTCTTATTTTGGTAGCATAGGCATTTAAACAAATTCATAAATCAAATATATTGGGTTAAAAAATATTAAATAACTCTCATGTTATAATGATTATAACATTGATAATACATGATTATACAATAATTTTAAATTATAATCTTTTTAAGTTTTTTTTTCTTTGCATTTTCTTATCAGTTTTAGATTAAAAATTAAAAGAAAAGTAAGATCGGCGATAGTAATTTCAAATATGGATAAAAAAGATTGGTACTATTTTTAAATTATTAATTTATGCCCTCATTGAAAAAAGTTTTTGGCTCCTCCCCTTGCTCTTAGGACATAAGGCTAGCTCCGCTCATCCTTGCTCAAACACTCCACTTGGCCTTGCACTCCTCTCCAGGACGCATGCTTAGAACTCGCTTTGCTCGATCTCACTCCGAGGCTCCACTCAACTTCTCTAGCACCCTTGCACGTTGATTTTTTTTTTGTTGCTATTAAACTTATAATAATTTATCTTTGGTTATTTTTTACCTATAAATGAAATTTTATTAGATTACTTATGGTGCTGAAACTTCTATAGAAGATATTAAGTGATTTCAATCAAATCACCGGAATGTATATTTTGCCACCTAAAAAGTGAAGTGCAGCTTTATTAATGTAATAAATTTAAATGATTATAATATGATAATACATGATTATAAAATAATTTTAAATTATATTCTTTTTATCCTTTTTATTAGTATTTTCTTATCAATTTTAGATAAAAAATTAAAAGAAAATTAAAATTGGTGATAATAATTTCAAATATGGATAAAAAAGATTGGTGTTATTTTTGAAATTATTAATTTATGCTCTCATTGAAGAAAATTTCTGACTCCTCCCCCTGCTCTTAGGACATAAGGCTAGCTCCGCTCACCTTGCACTCCCTCGCTCAAACACTCCACTTGGCCTCGCACTCCTCTCTAGCATGCCTGCTTAGGACTCGCTCTACTTGGTCTCACTTCGAGCCTTTGCTTAACTTCTCTAGCATCCATGCACGCTGAAATTTTTTTTTTTTTTTTGCTATTAAACTTATAATCATTTATCTTTGGTTATTTTGTATCTATAAATGAAATTTTATTGGATTACTTATGGCATTGACATACCAAAATTTTAGTCTTTTAAAACTTCTATAGAAGTTATTAAGGGTGCATTTGGGGCAGCTTAATGCCCACAACGCATTTTGAAAACGCAGCTCGTCCCATTTGGTTGGCACGTTGTGGGGAATTATTCTAATAATCCGATCGAATTTCAGATTAAACACGGCCGTGGGATCGACCCCGCGGCATGCGTTCCTTTAAGGAACTATTATTACGCTGCCACCCAGATGCTCTCTCGACTCTCGCTTACCCTAGGTGGAACCGATCTCGCGAAGGTTGCACTTCTCTCCCTCACTCGCATCTCTCTCGCCCTTAGTGTTGCTTTTCTCCTCTCCCTTCTCACTCAGAGCTCTGGTTACTGTGCTTTGTAAGTAAATTCATGCGGTTGTCGATGGACTGACTTTCCTTATGCAATTTTTTGCTCTCTGCTTTGCAATTTGTTGTGAGATTTCGTCATATTGGTGATTTCTGATTTCTGATTTCTCATTTGCGGTGTTGTTGATTTTGGATTTGAATCTTGCAATGAAAAAAAAATGTGAAATGTTTTGGATACCAGATGAAAGGTTCTAGATGTTAGTTCAATTGTAGTTTGCAACGTTTAGGGGGGCCTGTTTGAAAAACGGATGAACTCGGGTGCTTGATTTGTGCATGTCGTTATTTTGGGTATTCTGTGTGAAAGATGGATGAAATCCGGTGATGTTTGAGTGGTAATTTAAAAAAATAGATGAGATTGGGTGCTTCATTTGTTCATAGCTTTGTCTCGGTTGACTTGTTTGTAATTGCACTATCTCAAAATTACATACAACTTTTTTTTTTCTTTTTGTTTGGTTTCGTCTATGAATGCGAGAAGTTTGTGGATATGTGGTGGGGGTTGGATGATGGCTATGGTGTGGTTGTGATGGTGGTTGTGGTGGGGGTAGATTGGTGGTTGTGTTGGGTGTTGGATGATGATTATGGTGGGGGTTGGGTGGTAGCTGTGGTAGGCTGGGTGGTAGCTGTGGTGGGGGTTGATTCGTGGTTGTGTTGGGTGTTGGCTGGTGGTTGTGGTGGAGGTTGGGTGGTGGTTGTGGTGAGGGCTGGTTGGTGGCCGTGGTAGGGGATGGGTGGTGACTGTGGTGGGGTTTGGTTGGTGACTGTGGTTGGGAGCTGGTTGTTTGTGGTGAGAGATGGGTGGTGGATGTGTTGGGTGTTGGATGGTGGTTTGCTAGTCATTGTTGTTTTGTGTCACATGTGAAATCCTAGTAAAGGCAACCAAGTTCTTTTTTTTATGTTGGGATTTTTGAGATACTTCTGGATGGTCTGTTATTTTATGTTCCATTGATTGTAGATGTTTTAGATATTGTAAGTTCAATGTTGTTTGTAATTTTTTTCCCTTTTTTTGATTCCTTTTAGTTTCTTTTGTTTTTTGTGGGTTTGTGAGATCCGTGATGAAACATTCGATCTTGTGGGTTCTCCCGGATTGTCTGTTAGTCATTGTTGGTTGGTTTCATATGTGAAATCTTGGTAATGACAACCAAATTCTTCACTTCTTTCAGAAGTAGGGGTTTTTGAGGTACTTATGGATGTCCTTTTATTTAGTAATATACATATATGACACACACAAACTTGGTATTAAGTGAGTTAAAAACAACTGAGAACCCATTGTTTTATAAGGGCTGCTGTCATTTTGTTGTGATAAGTTCGGCAAGTTTGGTGTATTTAGTTCTCTGAGACCTCACACTCGCACAAAACCGTAATTGATTCTTGTTTTTGTCAATTTATGTTTGTGTTATGACTAATAGATTGTTTTTTGAATCATCCAAGGAAGATGAGCTCTAGAATTTCAGGGACCTCCCAATGATCGCTCTGCCACTCAGGCTACGGACTTCCCTACTGGCATCATGTCGGGTACATAACTACAGAAGACAGTTCTACAGATGCCGACGGAGTATCACGGAGAAGTGTAACTTCTTCAGGTGGGCATACAGTCTGATAAATTTTACTGCCGATAATGATCGTGGTTGGATGGTATCACTGGATGACAACGTAGCTCGTGACATACGTCGTCTGTATTTTAGAATTAATATTATCATATTTTTAATTATAATTTTAATAGTTTTTTTTTATTTTTTTAGCAATCTTGACACTCACTGTTAAGTGAGATGCGTATCTTATTTTTTGTATTGTTCTGAAGTAATTTTTTTACTTCTCAAGTATCAAATATATTGCTATGACAGTTCTATTACAAATCACATTACTTCACAGAGATAAGATGATCATTTATCAAGAAACAATTGTTTTCCAACAACACAAACTAAACATTCAACCAGCTTATCCGTATCAACTGCTGCTCAGCAGCTTATCTGGATGAAAATGATCAGTTGCTTATCAACAATTTATTAATAAGCTGCAGCTGCTCCAAATAGACCCTAAGCGGAATGTATATTTTGCTAACTAAAAAGTGAAGTGCGGAAGACATTAAATTCATTAACGTAATAAATTCACCACGCACACTCGCAATAGAAGTCAGTGCTCTAACGTGCTTCCCTGTCCCTACCCAAAGTCTAACTGCAAAATCATCTGCAAAAGAAGATTTTCTTTGCATTACCATATATATAACAGAGAAAAGACGGCGACTTCCTCCTAGGCAAATAAGATAATATTCTTCAAAATAAAAGACACAAAAGTGCTGGCGGAGAAAAAACCAGGCATGATCTGGAGCCGATCAAGGCCCTGTCGCTCGAAATCAGCGATGATCTCGTAGGCACGCTGCTGCTCCTGTGGTGCCAAAGTCTCGATATGATGGAGAATATCGACAGTACCACCTGGATTCCCGGACTTGGCAGCGGCGTAACCATCATCCCCAAGAACTTCCCTGTACATCGCCGAGAAGTCGATCACCGGAACTGTAAGCGTCCCGTCCATGTCGAACACCACTCCTCTCAGCGCCGGCTTCCCCTCTGCATCGCCAATCCTCTGCCTCACTGACATGGCGGTTCTACGCAGGGGAAGTGAGAAGGGGAGGGAGAATGTAGAAGGAAAACAATACCAGCGAGGGCTTGATAACCAACCAAAGTGAAGCAAGCGCATCAGATTGGGAGAGGACACTGTAGACAGACGGAGAGATAAAAGTAAGGAGAGCTCATACGCTTGTCCTCTTCTTCCCTCGGTCCGCTAATTTATGTACCGGATAAGTATGAATGATTGTAACAGGCATAAAAATGAAATATAAAACAAATAATTTCTCAAACTAAAAGAAATAAAAATTGCATTTACATTATATATATGACATACTTTTTATCTATTTTGAGTAAATTGCTAAAATAATTTTAGACTATTTACATGAGGTTATTTTAAACTCAGAGTTTATAAAAGTGTCAAAATAGTCTTCATCCTTATTAAATTAGGATTGAACAGTCTTTATAGAGGACTATTAGAGCTCAATTTTAAAATAATTGATGATTGTTTTACACCTCTATAAACTTTAGGACTATAACGACCTCATGTAAACAATCGGGGCTATATTGGCACTTTACTCATTTAATATGTATCACCCAAACTTTAATAGTTACATAAGTAACACTCAAATCTTTATTTTTGTATGAAAATATCACATTCATCTACTTTTAAAACATTAAATAGATAATTTCATATGTATATTTAACACACCATTGTAAATATATATAAATATGAAATTATAGATTTTATATGTAAATATATACCATAAAAAATTATAATAGTTGATCTTCTAAATACTAATTCATCGATTAAATAAATTAAAAATGCCATTTCAATTAGTAGTATCAGTTAAACTATAAAAATACTTTGGGATTAGCATTATTTTTCATTTTTATCAAATTCTTCATAGTTTGGCAGTTGCATGCGTAAATACATTGGCTTGGAAGTTCATAAAAATCACTTCAATGTTGAACAAGGGAAGAGGCAATTACTCTTCCATCAAATTCCAATTTTTACTTATATGAAAGAGCAATTTAGGCATTTGACCCTCCTGAAATATTATTTTACCCTTCAATGTCCTAACCCCTGCAATATTGGGTCTACAAGACAATTTGTTCATTTTTTTTCAATGGAAATAAGAAATACAGCATTTTATCAGACAAAATAGGCCTCAAACATAGAAGTCCCCTCAACTAAAACATTTTTTTCTTCTGAAGTAGCAGCTGCTTTTGCCCAATAATGATCGATTTAACTATCAAAAACATTATAAATATGCGTATATTACTACATAGATCAGACCACCAAACACTTAGGGTGGGTTTTAAACAATTATTTTACATATATACCATGTATATACGTCTGTTTGACTACAACTTTCTTGCTGCATTTCAGAAATGAAGATCTTATGTATTTACATATCTACCGCCTAAACTTGTAAAGTATACATATTAGATAAATAGATCAGAGTTGGGTGGCATGTATGCAGATGCCCCTTCAGAAATTTTTACAGTAAGAATTCTTTCACTGTCAAATCTGCTGATACAGTTAGTTGAAATAATTTTGAAAAACACCATCTTTTCTACAACAATTCCAGAATTAACACACATAACTACAAAGCCAATCCAAACAGACATAAATTACAGCAGAGAATGAAAAATTGGGAAGCAAATGAAAGTTTGAACCAGAAGCAGCCCTCTTTGGATGATCCTATGCTTCCAGATTCAAACTCCAACAGAAGAGAAAAAGAAAACTAAGATCTTTCATCTCCCTCCCAGTTATTCTTCTCCTTGGGACCTGTAGGACCTTCCTCTCGAAATAATTCATCTGGAAGCTTATCCAACACACTCTCCACCGAAAATCTAAGCTTAACTGGTAAAAAGCTAAGAATTTTATCTACTTCTGACCTCGAATTATACTCCACAGTTGGTCCCCATTCTCTCATGTACTGCAACCAGCAAGGTTCAACTATAACATCCCCCATATACTCCGCTGCAATTATCTGATACCGAACACTCGAATCCACATAAAATTGGCTCCGAGCTGCATCATTTCTAACCCCAATTCCCAACTTTGCTGATCCTTGGAGATATGTCCCAGGGTGAGGGTAACTGGCATGCCCGCTCTTCGAAGAATAAACGATCGCTCTGTTGGCTTCGATGAACTCTAAACCAGATACCTCCACCCACTCGCCACCACTGTGTTCGGAGAAATATATACCACATAGTTCGCCAGTGAAATTGCTTATTCGAAGCGTGAAATGCTCCCAATCTCCTACATGTTGTCCAATATGTTTTAGAGGGATGTTTAGCAGGCCAACCTTAAGGGTGGAAGGACCATTGAATGGACAGAACACCCACATTGCGATGTCTGTGAAGGTTCCCCCTAGAGCTGGCTTTAAATGGATGTAGAGTTCTGCGCTGTCGATATTCCCACACTTGACACGATTGCCGCTACGATCATCGGGCAAATCAATCCAATATTCGCCATCGTTGGCACCTTCGGCTGGAAGATTAGAACCGAGGGAATCAATGGCCTGTCCCTGATCTTCACCTCTGGTGTATAAAGTAGCCCCATTTGTGAAAAACCAAGCCACCGACGACGGCAAGTAACCTTCTTTCGGATGGAAAAAGACGGTCGGTCCGTAATGCTTGATGAGCGCATGGACCTGATCAAGATTCGGCATGGCAAGAAAGAATGGATCGAGATTTTTCAAGCACGAGACATCAATTTCAGCATTGAAATCGCTATCTGTGGTGCAGCAGAATGTGCCTACAGGCACACCTTTGCACCACATGCCTCGAAATAAAGGCCTGGATTTCCAAACAGTGAAGGGAATATCGAAACCATTCGATTCAAGACAAAGAATGGGTTCATGAGTCTCGCACGTATCTGTGAGATCAGCTCGGACACATCTTACTTCATCGACGAAGGGCTTGTTAGAATCATTGGTGATGACATAACCCACGGCTCTGTAGCCTTCGGGAGGGCATGGAAGCCAAAAGCAGACAGATCCATCATGGTTATCATCCTGCCAGTTTGCTGACCACCAAATAAGTGTATAGTCGATGGGTTTTTGCAGGGGTGGAAGTTCTGCCTCGCTTGAATTAGCTACTACTGCTCTTGCTGCGAGAAGAAAAGCTTGAGACTGTTGGCCGATGGGTTGCCCGTAATCACCCAGGGAGAAAAATCCATCAGGAATCTCTACAGGCTTGTAGAAAGTCGCTCCTTCGCTCTTGTTTTTTGACGGGTAGCAGCTCCAGATGCTTTGAAATTTAGTGATATTCACTACTTCAAGCTCTCCCAAGTTTATGCTTCCTTTAGCAAAACCTTTGCCTTGAAGAAATGCATTTTTTTTTTTACTCAAAATGACGTTCATGATGGATGTTAAAACAAGCAGAAGTTGCTAGACTAGTTAGATGGCTAGACAGTGATTGAAAAATGAAGTTCATTTGTTCATTGGAAGATTTACATACATACCACTCAATTCCTATGTATTTACATATCTAACACCTAAATTTCAATTTTTTTATATACATACCACCTTAACTATGCATGAAGAGATGTATTTCACCATTTAAAAGTTAAAATGGTGTATTTTTGATGTGATGTCAAAGATTTGGATGGTGTAAATATAAAAGGAAAATTTAGGTGTCAGATATGTAAATTCATAAGAATGGAGTGGTATCTATGTAAATGTCCCTTCATTGAGATTTATTGTTCGGGAGAACCAGGGAACTGGAGTGCTTACAGGTAGCCCAAGGTTTCTCTCTAACCCAAGGCAGGTTTCAGGAGGAAACCAGCCAATTTTCCGTAAAAAAACAAGAAAAATAACGGTATATTTATTATGAAACAAAGCAATGCATGCACATACTACCATAGCATAAACATCTTCATCAAAGTTGGGAAATTTACAGTTAGGGCTAATTCGTTTCAACCTAAAAGTTCTTATACGAGCAATGTTGTGAAGGCGAGTTTCATTGAATAGAGTTCCATTGATTTTATTTGTTATTCATACGCTTCTTATGATTATATATTGATTAGAATTGCAGTGAGTTTCAGCTATACAAACCGTCACACTAATTTCTTCTTCTCGTCTGCTCTCTTATGATACCAAGGCCTCAACAATGACTCTTCATCGAGTGAAACCCCAATCAGTATTGGTACGTCCTTCCCTATTACAATGATGAAACTATCGAGTTCTTCAAATGGAAAGCATCTGATTACGTAGTTCTCACTTAATTATTGAATAGTCTCGATTTTTTTTTGGTCTTTGCAATCAAATTCCTAGAGTTCCATGCAATGTTAGATTTTCAATGGTATAATTCCAGGAAAGTAAAATTTCCCATGTGTTTGCCTCATATTATGACCTATTTAGCAGAGTAAGTGGGATGGCTTGCTTCACTACAAACATTTAATCACATAACCTAAGTTCTAACAGCGCCAAAATAAAAGGTTCATGGCTGCTAACTTCTCTCTGGCTTTCATTAATCCCTTTCAACCCTTGCGCACTTGTGAAATCTTAGCAGATGGTCAATATAACAGTTTTAATCTTGTTGCTGCTCTCTCCTATGTTCTTTGAGCAATATGAGTGATCATCTTTTCTTCAAAAATTTCTAATCATGCAAGAATCATGGTGTTCATAGTCATGTTTGATAGTGTTTGAGGTCGAGAGGAAAAGTTTTCTCCATTCTCTCATATGGGCATTACTCATCATCTTTCGGATCAATGTTAAATATACTGTTGTATACTCCTTCCCAACATGCCTTTTAAAAATCTATTAGAGCGGATGTTTCTCTCACTAATACCACTTCATGTTCTATCATGCTTTTTCAGAAAGAGTCTAATTGTTTTGTAGGATATCCATTTATGTTTTTCATGTTGTTTTATCCTTTAGGTGTAACAGCCCGAACTCTCACTCATCAAGAAATTGCCCGCTTTGACTTAATGGTCTTATGGTTTTGCCCCAATAGTGCAACTTCCTAGGAGGTCACCCACCTAAGAGTGCTCCCGTACAAGCACGCTTAACTTTCGAGTTTCTATCGAAACTCCAATCATTACACCAAAAGGCGCCTAATGGTCTCATGTATAAGTGTTCAGCTTCATTCTACTTAAGAGTTTTACAATCGCCTCCACTTGAGTAATTGATATTCTCATCAGTGCTCTAAACCCAGAATCATCCACTAAGTAGATAGTATTCTGGAGGTGATCCCTACAGATTCGAGAGATAGCTCATATCACGCAGCACTTTGTCTCATCTTGAGTTTAAGAGATGGCTCATTTGGCATAGCACTTTGTTATGTATCGTACTTAGTTCACATCTTCTAACTGCTATAATCCTCTTAGACTATTTGTAATAGACCGAACTCTCACCCATCGAGATATTGTCCGCTTTGACCTAATGGCTTCATGGTTTTGCCCCAATGGTGTAACTTACTTGGAGATCTCCCATCCTAGGAGTTCAGCTTCATTCTACTTATGGGGTTCATAATAGATTTGTTGCAAATGTACCCTCAAGTATATCCTCAATTTTAGATTCATTACCTTGTCCCATGTCAAAGATAATAACAAACTTCTTTTATCTTTCCACAACTTATCTTTCTCTTGTGATTATGATTGGCAGATCTCACTCCCATCATGGCTCCTTTGAAATCTATATATCTCCTTAATGTTTTATATGTCCTACACTTCTTGGAAGTTTATTGATTAATTTAGTTTTACAAGGTCCCATAATTGTTTTCTATTATTTTATATTCTTTTGTAATATTTTATCACTCCCATTATGTCTTTCAAAAACTTTAGCTCAACGAAGAAGATTTTAAAAAATCGAGGCTAGTGTGTTGTACACTCTAACTATAAATGTTCTCTCTGCACTTTCCTCCGTTACTTCTCATTTTTATTGGTATTTTCAATTGAATAATTCTTCTCCCAATATAACTTAATATTTTGTCTCTAGTTCCTTATTTTCACTCAAATTTGACTATCATAAAAATGAGATGGATAAACAGTATCACGTATATTTTCCATCATCTATTACTCTCATCTAATCAAATCATCCTTTTAAATTAATTCACTTGAAACATTTTGGTTCCTAGACCTATCCTTACTTATCTAGATGGTTGTTATTTTTTTTTTCACCTTCATTGATGATTTATTGCAAGCTATAAAGATTAACTTACCCAAATGTAGCTGTAAGGTCCATCATGTACTCCCATTTTTTTAGGAATAAATAGAAGTTAAATTTATCACTTCATCAAAATAATTGTAGTGATAATGCTTTAGAATCCATGCAATCTCAGTTTTGCCTCTTATGCTCTTCTACTAGTATTATTCACCAGACTTTCTACTTAAATACCTCTCAATAGAATGATCTTTCATGAATGCAAAAATCGACAGCTTCTTGAGATTGTTATGACGTTGATATTTTATATAAATGTAACTTGTCAATTATGAGGTAACCCTATCTTTATTGCAGGTTAGTTATTGATATAACTTATAAATTCTCATCAATCTTTGATGTTTCACAATCAAGTACCTACTCCACTTCTTGGCAACATCAAACCCATCTCCACTTTTTATCCCAATAAACTTGGTTTTCCCCTAACACCCTCTAGATTTGGTTAAACCTTCATTCTCCATTTGTTTCACTCACCAAAACTCTCTCCACATATTATTCGATGCATCTTCTTTGGGTCCTTACATACATACAAAATTCATCGGTGTTATGATAAGCTTACACGACTACTATATACTTCATCAATGCAACCTTTCAAGGGTCTCCAACTTCTTCCTCTCTCTCCTCCACCCCTAACACTTCTCCCCGCCAATTCCTCCTCCGCTAAAAGCATCTCCTACCCATACACATTTACCAATATACTCTAGTTGTAGTCGATCTCCAGCAATCAGATTAATGGAACTCTATGCAAAGTGACCTCCTGTGATATGGATGACTACTCCTTGATCACTTAGAATACCCCAAACATCCGACTGCATTTTCTATAAAGTAAGGAAGATAGCCAATCATTTCCGAGGGTTAGGGTCAAGTATTGCAAGCTACCTGGTCTCATCTCTAATGTTTCGTAGACTGAGTTCATCTCCTTTCTAAGGAAATCACATATCTCTTCTCATAATAATAAGCTGCCCTGTATCATCTCTATGAATAGCACCTCCAACCAGAATGTCAAATTCAACTTAGTACCCCAAGCTAAAAAGCCTTTTGACCAACATTTTCCTCTAGCTCAAAGAGATCATTTTCCTCTTGCTCAAAGAGATAAAAGGATCCCATCAACTCACTTAATAACCATTTCGTTCCTACATAAAATCATATTTCAGACCATTTATTAATTCAGACCATTAATTAAGGTTAGACCATGCAAAAAATGGATGTCCATCAATTCATTGTCAAATCTATTACTACTAAAATTACATTCCATTTATTCAGTTTTAGTTCTACTTAAACGAAGGCCTTTAGACTCCAATGTAGACCTCCATAATTCAAGTTTTTCCTGGGTTTTTTCTCTCATTTTTTCCACAAGAAGAATATCATCAGCAAAAAGCATACACCAAGGTACATCCTCTTGTAGATGTCCAGTAAGACCATCCATAACTAAAGCAAAAAGATATGAGCTTAAAGTCGATCATTGATGTAATCCAACAGAAATAGGAAAATATTTTGTCAATCCTCCTTCAGTTTGAACACAAGTAACAACTCTAGTATACATATCTTTAATTACTTGAATATAAGTTATATCAACACATTTCTTCTCGAGAACTCTCCAAAGGATATCTCTTGGAACCTTATCGTAAGCTTTTTCTAAATCAATAAAAATCAAAATATAATTTGGAAAATTATGAGGATAATCTTAGTAGGTTTCCTTTGGCCAGACAAGTCTATGAAAAATATTATGATCTTTCGAATTGTTTTGTACATTTCTATATTTAATCAAATATATAAACCTTGTGATAATTTATGTAAATTATACACTTATTGAAATTTGACAAAATCAGTTCCACATTGTGCATAAAAATCATATTTACTTACTGTAAAAGTTAAAAATTATTTAGCTTAATTTAAGCACTAAAATTAACTTTTAAAGTAACTTTGTATTTTTGTACAAAAATAATTATCATAAATTAAATAAGCTTAGAAAAATCATGAAAAATAGTTTTATAATCTATTTTTTTGAAAAAATTTCATTTTCAAAGTGTATTTTGAATTAAAATAATTAAAATAATCAAAATTTTTAAAACTACAAAAAATGGTTCAAAATGTGTACAAGCTTTCCCTGATCACTTAGAATTCATTATGATATTTTTCCTAATTTTTCTAAGTTAAAAATAAAATTTAAAAGCTTAAAAGTGAATTTTCCTTATTTTCTCATTAAATAATTATAATAAATAAATTAAAAAACATAAAAATACAAAATTTGATAATAATAATAATAATTTAATTCAAAAAATCATGAAATTTTGCTTTGGTATTAGTCTAACTCAAGGAAACCTCTAATAATTTTCTCATATACAAAAAATTTTATTTTGGATAGTTAAATAAATCAATTTAGAAAACCCTATTTCCTGAATTTAAAAACACAAAAGAAAAACTACATTATTCTCTTCTGATGTTTCAATTAACTCATGGATATGCCACTCTTTTGATTCTCCAAGAACATCTTTTGTTACTTGTTTAATAGTGTTTGTTACTTTATCCCACATCACATTTGCTTCTTCATGAATATCCCAAATTTTGAAATCTTGAATTTTACTCATAAAAATAATTTTATTTGTGTCTTTTAGGTTCCCCCATCTAATTTTTACGATGATGAGTCCTAGTATTCATTATTTATAACTATTCATCTTAAAATTTTGAACTAATAAACGATGTTGGGTATTTAAATTTTCACTTGGAATGACCTTACAATCTTTATAATCACGACGATCTCTTCTTCTCGTAAGAAAATAATCAATTTGTGTTTTATTAGATCCACTCTTATAAGTAATAAGATGTTCATCCCTTTTCTTGAATAAAGTATTAGTAATAACAAAATCATACGCTAAAGCAAAATCTAAAATAGTTCTACATTCTTCATTAGTTACTTCAAAACCGTAGCCAGCATGAATATTTCTGAAATCTTCTACCACTCTACCGACATGTTCATTTAAGTCTCATCCAATAAAAATTCTTTCTTCAAGAGGTATCATTTGTATTAAGTCTTCTAAGTCATTCCAAAATTTATCTTTAGACCCTGTATCTAAACCTACTTGAGGAGCATAAACATTTATAATATTAAAAATCTTAATATCACTGATAATCTTAAGGGTCATAATTCTATCACCAACTCTATTAATTTTTACAACATTATCTTTCAAACTCTTATTTATAATTATACTTACACCATTTCTAGTAAGACTCTTACTAGAATACCAAAGTTTAAAACTTAAATTATCGATCTCCTTAGCCTTTTCTCCAACCCACTTAGTTTCTTGAATACATAAGATATTAATTTACCTATGAATCATAATATCAACTAATTCCATTAATTTACCATTGAGAGTGTCTATATTCTAAGATCCTATCCTAATAATAGTTTCATTAGTTTCATGAACTAACTTCTTTACCCGCATTCGCCCGTAATGTGGGAACCCTTGCTTATTTAACACTACACCCGGGCGCCGATGTAGTGTTAAATACACACGACTTAATTCCTATGTTTTTACATATCTGACAACTAAACTTCAATTATTATGTATATTCCACCTTATTTATGCATGTAAACGTGTATTCCACCTTTTTAAAGTTAAAGCAGTAGTATTTTGAAGTGATATGAAATATTTGGATGGTATAATTGTAAAAAATTACAATTTTGGTGCTAGATAAGTAAAAACATATGTAAATTTCAAGAACCATAACTGCCATAATTTTTTTAAAAAAAATTCAAAGTAATTTCAGCCTAGTAGCAATAAGCCAGTAACTGACAATATAAGAGACCAGTGGGCAAAATTAAATATTAATAATAAAATATATAACAAGAAAGAATACATAGGAGAAACAGAAGCTTTTTATTATTTAAAATATTGATTTGGTGATAATCAAGCCATAGAAAATCAAGACTATCTTCTCATCACACCCAGCATGGTATGCTCCCAAAAAACTGGAAGAAGGCTATGAACATGTTATTTCCATAAAGATAACAAAAAGAAAAACGGGAATTTTTTTCAACCCAAAAAAAAAAAAAAAAAATTTCACACTCCAAGGAAAAATCAATAAAGAAAAGTGGCTGATTAGAACTTCAGAGTATTCAAAAAAACAAAAAATTGTCTCCAAAGAACTTCAGAAACAGAGAACAATCTATTTCCAAAGCTGAATTCAAATCCTCGCAGTAAATCAAAAGAAACAGAGAGTGAAATCAAGGGCATCAATAAAGATAACACCTTTAGGCCATTCCGGCATGGCGGAAGGTAAGGAGAAAGGCTCCGGCTCGCCGGAGATGATATCATAGATGCCTCCCCTGTTCCAGCAGAAACAAGTGAATGAATCCATCCTCTGCTTCAAATCAAGGAACAGATCGATCTCCCATCGAGCTTCTCCGCCGGGTTTAAATCAATTTCTACGCCACTCATGATCGCTGAATCTGTAACTTTTGGATGGCGATGTATCGGCTTTCCTCTACTTGACGTCTTGCAGAATCATATGGATTAGAATGTAACTAGGGATTGGAAATCAAAGGGGTAATGACATACAGAAATTGAATAAAAAAATACCGTTCCCCGGTTGCTGGACCTTGGAAGCCAAAGAGGAGGAAGAGTCCAAGCTTTTTCTTACTTTTATTTAGAGCTTATCGTCACCAACTTTCAAACCAAAAAATACACCCATATGCTAAGTACCACATAACTAGGTGAGTTGGGGCCTATCATGATTCATGAATAAAATAAAATTTTCTAATGATTCATGAATAAAATAAAATTTTCTAATTAATCTTTTTAAAAATATATTAGTGTAATTTATTAGAATCAAATTGCACAAAATATTTAAACATTTTTTGTTTTAAAATGCAATCCTTTTAAGAGATATTATATTTATTAAACAATATTTTATTTTTGATATAGTATGATTATATTTACTTAATCAACTGCATCATGTCTTTTTCATTCGAATATTTTTTTTCAGCCAATTCATGATCCAACCAAATGGAATAATATTTAACGCCTGCATTTCAACTACTCTTATCCAATTCTTTGATATCCTCCTAGTGCAATCCATTAAATTTTCTCGAGATTCATGCGATCACATTTCTATATATGTGCTTATATATAATTAGGTGATGGTTTTTCAATTTGGTCTCTCCTCATTTTTTTCCTAGATAAAAAATTTGAAGAACTTTTTAAGAAATTCAAGTACTGATTTAGCACTTTATTAAAAAAATATAGCTTTCCTTAAGAAAAGAAACAATAATTTTTTAAATGTTTTATATCTTCAATAAATAATCTGAGTGATACAATTGTCATTCTCATGGCTTCCCAGCTATTTGGCAATGATGTCAGCAATATCAGCGCACGTATCTCATCATCAAAATCAATTTCAACAGACGATAATTGATTTGTGATAGTGTTGAAATCATTCAGGTGTTGAGCAACAGACACACCTTCCACCATCTTCAAGTAGAATAACTTTTTTATCAAATGCACCTTGTTATTCGCCGATGGCTTTTCGTACATATCTGATAAAGCCGCCATGAGATCTGCAGCAGTCCTCTCATTGATGACGTTAATTCAGAGATTGGCAGAAAAATTTAATATTATTCACCGAATCTCTATTGCCTATCATCCTTAAACACCAACAGAACCTATCGATCCAACAGATTCCATTCTGCCTCGTCCATCTTTTCTGGTCGTTTTCCCAGTAACGGAAGATGAAGTTTCTTCCCATAAAGGTAGTCCTCTATCTGCATCCTCCAGTAAACAAAATCTGTGTCATTGAACTTCTCGATCCTCGATGTCATCATTTTGTTTTCGTCTATCGTTCTTCCTTAGATTCGAACCCAAGACTCTGATACCAATTGTGAAAAACGACGACAATAAAGCAAAAAATAGAATGTGAAAAAATTGGAGAAAAATTACACGGAGAAAAACACCAGAGCGACACACAGATTTACGTGGTTTGGCAAATTTGCCTACTTTCACGGAGCTGCAGAGGATTTACTTCTTGGAGGAATTACACCGTCGAACGCATCGACGTTTACAAGAAAATCTCTATGTTTACAAGAAAATACAAGAAAATCTCTATTTTCTTTTCTCCCTTTCTCTCTCTCTCTTCCTCTCTTTCTCTTAGCTTTCAAAATGAGTTGACTTGGCCTTGCTTGGCTTTTCTTGGCTTGCATTTCCTTTAAATCAAAAGAGACTATTTATGGAAACCACGAGAGCGGTAGGTGGGAGGTAGGTGGGAGGTAGGTGAGAGTGGTAGGTGAGTGGTAGGTGAGATACTTAATTAGAAAGCTAATCAAAGTCGGTGGATCAAGTCTCCACATTACCCAACACTCTCAACTAATATTATTCACCAAACTTCCTACTTGTATACATCTCAATAGAATGATCTTTCATGAATGCAAAAATCTACACCTTCTTGAGATTTTTACGACATTAATATTTTAAAAAAAATGTAACTTGTCAATTATGAGGTAATGCTATCTTTATTGCATGTTAATTATTGCTATAACTTATAATTCTCATCAATCTTTGATGTTTCATAATCAACTGCCTACTCTACTTCTAGGCAACATCAAAACCGTCTCCACTTTTTATCCCAATACACTTGGTTTTCCCCTAACACCCTAGAGATTTGGTTAAACCATCACTCTTCATTTGGTTCACTCACCAAAACTCTCTCCACATATTATTCGATGCATCTTCTTTGGGTCCTTACATACATACAAAATTCATCGGTGTTATGATAAGCTTACACGACTACTATATACTTCATCAATGCAACCTTTCAAGGGTCTCCAACTTCTTCCTCTCTCTCCTCCACCCCTAACACTTCTCCCCGCCAATTCCTCCTCCGCTAAAAGCATCTCCTACCCATACACATTTACCAATATACTCTAGTTGTAGTCGATCTCCAACAATCAGAGTAATGGAACTCTGTGCAAAGTGACCTCCTGTGATATGAGTGATTACTCCTTGATTACTTAGAATACCCAAAACATTCGACTGCATTTTCTATGGAGTAAGGAAAAAGCCAATCATTTCCGAGGGTTAGGGTCAAGTATAGCAAGCTACCCTGTCCATCTCTACGAATAGTACCTCCAACCAGAATGTCAAATTCAACTTAGTATACCGAGCTAAAAAGCCTTTTGACCAACATTTTCCTCTTGCTCAAAGAGATAAAAGGATCCCATCAACTCACTTAATAACCATTTCGTTCCTACATAAAATCATATTTCAGACCATTTATTAAGGTTAGACCATGCAAAAAATGGATGTCCATCAATTTCATGGTTGAACCATGCATGAACTGGATTCAAGCCATGTTTTCTTTGTAGTGACCTACAAGAAACTATTTATATGGAGCCCCGTCCAAGGTGTATTGCTTAGTTAGAGAAATGTATATTTTTATCTCAAGAAAGCTAATAATCATCTTAAACAAAGTTCATAAACATGATTTGAAAAACTTTGTAAAGCCCCGCTTGAAATTGGCCTTCACAGTAGCACTACATATCACTCAATCTTCATTAAGTATAATGTTCTAAGTCCCATTATACCAATTAATTATATTGATGACAGCATAATGGATGTGATCATCACAATAGCTCTGAGATAAAACACTATTGTTAGGGCGTTCTTCTGCAGAGAGTCATGCCTATTTTTATACACACACACAGGTACCGCTATGGGGGAGCAAGTAATGATTGATCTGACTCTTTTGCTTGCAGGTGCTATTAGCTCCCCCACTTTTAAGGCATGGCTCATGATACGTTATGTGCATGCGAATTTTCCCGCTTACATTTGTTTTCATGCAGGATTGAGTCACTGCATATTCGCCGTGTCTGTGTATTCGCCGTGTCCGTGCTGTTGTATTTTTTATTTATTATTGATTTTTTTTTCTTTTCTTAACCTTTCTTTTTTGTTGATCGTGTCTCTTTTTGCTTGGCAGAAATGGCGAGAGAGAGAGTTGTGACGATTGCTACTACTGGGGGGAACTCTGTCTCCTTTTTCCCCTATTTGCATCATGTTGCATGTCTGCACTTACATGTGTTTTCCTTGTTTTCTTTTTGTGTTTTATTTAGGATTTTGTAGAAAATTAAAATTTTAGGGTCCTTAATGAGTCTATGTTGTATCATAATGATAAAGCGAAACTCCTTACATCGAGAGTCTTCTTGGGTATCCCCTGAGATCCATTTGGCGTGAGAGATTCACTTTCCGCCCGATGGTGCAGCGTGAGCTTCAAAGCATCGAGACTATTCCATACAGCTTTGTAGTTGAACCTCCGCTTTCTCTTCTTTCCGGAGGCATCTTTGTCATTTCGGCAGGTATAAGTCTCACCTCTTGGAGCTTCAGTTTATAGTCACAGGAAAAACATTTGAAAATTTGATCGAAAAAGTGGCTAGTTTGCAAGACACCGCAGATGCCTTGATCTTCAAAGATACTGAAAAGGCTAGAGGCAAAAGGCCTATTGTGGGTGTGTCTAGAAGAAAGGAAGAGAGCATCGCTCTTGCGACATCTGATGGGAAAATAAAAAAGCCAGTCATGTCTGCCGAGCAAATTGGCCCATCTCTTCAGTAAGGGAAATCCCAGTATCTTGAACAGAGGAAGTCTAAGGTCTATCCTTTTAGGAATGATTGTCTTAGGAAGATGCTCAAGAACCTGCTTAAGCAGGGAATGCAGCTCCCACCGCCAAATAAACCTCACGAGGTGGAGAGGACGAAGGAGCCTGACTATTGCCCATACCATAGGCATCTGGGGCATGTCCTGGAAGACTGTTATCCTTTCAAGGATTGGCTTGAGGCCCGGTATAATGCAGGAGAAATAGAAATACCAGATCAGTACTTGGAGAAACCCCAGGGGAAAGGTTCTGTGAAGATTGTGACAGTTATTCCAACTCATAGTTTTTTTTTTCTGATATTTATCTTCTTGCTTGTAACGCAGGAGTGGATTGTAGTGCTCCTCCTGGCACATTTTATGATGATAAAGATATAAAAGAAGAATCTTCTGATTATGTCTCTGTGTCTCATGTTCTTATACTTGATGATTATGATATCAATGACTCTGATCATGTTGATGTGGAAGATGAACAATACCCATTATGGCCCTCCTCGAGCGGTACATGTCGCATTTACGACGATTTGAGCGATACATCTGCCGATGCAGGTGAGGCCTCCGTGCATGAGGGCTTCTTTGACGAGCCTTCTGCTGAATTTGTCACTGAAGTCGAACCCATTGGTTCCTCTAGTGAGAAGGTTCAGGAAATTCACCTTAGAAGTGGTAAAATTCTCCCTCCAAGAGTATCTTTGCCCAATCAGTTCCGATTCACGAAGAGTCTCCGAGTCCTATGGATCATAGCCCCTTTTCTGTGCTTTCTGGTTGTCAAGACTATGTCCCTGCTAGGATCGTCAGGAAAGTTCATTCTCCTCATGGTGGTGCAGGCTGTCTCAGACCTGCTGTCTATATTGATAAGGCTACCACAAGCCTGTTATCTAAGAAAATTGTGGGGGTTGTTTCCTCTTTGAGGGGAAAATGGCCCATTTCTGAGAGGGAGCTCCTCACCCAGATTTCTGCGTCTGAGCAGACCGTGAGAGAACTCCTTTGCTTCCCTCACCCTCGAGGTCGTCGTAGTAGGACGTGGGCTTCGACCCGTCACTCTACTACTCGCCGAGGGGGGCCTCCTTCCGTTGCACATGGGGTTAGGCCTACCGGGGTGTTATTAGGAACCCCTAGTCTAACTTGTGTCACCGCTCTTTGTGACACACTTTAGATCCTTTAGATCTTTAGGATGTGGCTGATATGAAGACCCCGTCAAAGTCATGCTATACTCAGACTTACCCCTCACTTATATACTAGGTCGATGCACTTTCTCGGTAGATGGCGTGCTAGGCTAGGATTTAGGGTGCTAGATAGTCTTTTTGATGTCTGGCTATTGTTCTCTGTTGGATTGGTTGCCCTAGCCAGACATCTTTCTTTTGCATTATGCTTGTGATGTGTTTGCATGTTGCATATGTGTGGTAGTATGTTAGGGCGTTCTTCTGCAGAGAGCCATGCCTATTTTAATATCATGTCATAGCGCGTTGATAGGTCGCCCCTCCTGTGACTATAAACTGGAGCTCCAAGAGGTGGGACTTATACTTGCCGAAATGGCAAAGATGTCTCCGGAAAGAAGAGAAAGCGGAGGTTCAGCTACAAAGTTGTAAACACTCCAACAAAAGGACTTACACCCCGTCTGGGTCGGGGAGCCTTCTAACACCTTAGACGCACTAGACAACCACCTATATGGTGAAATTTGTTGGGTCAGTCACAGGATTGAAGTACCTCGGAAAAAGAAAACAACATCCACGAGCACCATCCACGAGAGGTATGTTGGGCCAGTCAGGTTGGAAAAGTACGGAGACTCTTCCTCGGGAGGCATCTTTGCCATTTCCGCAGGTATAAGTCCCACCTCTTGGAGCTCCAGTTTATAGTCACAAAATAGAGTTTCCTTCCTTTGACCTTAGGGCTACCTGAGATCCCCGGTCAGCAATCCGTGAATTGCATCATCCACGAGAACATCGGTAGCCCTAAGGTCAAAGGAAGGAAACTCTATTTTGTGACTATAAACTGGAGCTCCAAGAGGTGGGACTTATACCTGCGGAAATGGCAAAGATGCCTCCCGAGGAAGAGTCTCCGTACTTTTCCAACCTGACTGGCCCAACATACCTCTCGTGGATGTTGTTTTCTTTTTCCGAGGTACTTCAATCCAATTTCACCATATAGGTGGTTGTCTAGTGCGTCTAAGGTGTTAGAAGGCTCCCCGACCCAGACGGGGTGTAAGTCCTTTTGTTGGAGTGTTTACAACTTTGTAGCTGAACCTCCGCTTTCTCTTCTTTCCGGAGACATCTTTGCCATTTCGGCAAGTATAAGTCCCACCTCTTGGAGCTCCAGTTTATAGTCACAGGAGGGGCGACCTATCAACGCGCTATGACATGATATTAAAATAGGCATGGCTCTCTGCAGAAGAACGCCCTAACATACTACCACACATATGCAACATGCAAACACATCACAAGCATAATGCAAAAGAAAGATGTCTGGCTAGGGCAACCAATCCAACAGAGAACAATAGCCAGACATCAAAAAGACTATCTAGCACCCTAAATCCTAGCCTAGCACGCCATGCCGGGGGACCGCGGCCCCGTCGTCCCAAACCACGGGGACCCTAAGTCTACCTGGTCGTAAAGGTAGTCGACCCAATCCACGAGAACCTCGGTAGCCCTAAGGTCAAAGGAAGGAAACTCTATCCTGTGACTATAAACTGGAGCTCCAAGAGGTGGGACTTATACCTGCCGAAATGGCAAAGATGCCTCCGGAAAGAAGAGAAAGCGGAGGTTCAGCTACAAAGCTGTAAACACTCCAACAAAAGGACTTACACCCCGTCTGGGTCGGGGAGCATTCTAACACCTTAGGCGCACTAGACAACCACCTATATGAAGGTATGCTGGGCCAGTCAGGTTGGAAAAGTACGGGGACTCTTCCTCGTAAGTCCCACCTCTTGTAGCTCCAGTTTATAGTCACAGTCATACTCGTGTCAATCTCGATGACTTACCCCTCACTTATATACTAGGTCGATGCACTTTCTCGGTAGATGGAGTGATAGGCTAGGATTTAGGGTGATAGATAGTTTTTTTGATGTCTGGTTATTGTTCTCTGTTGGATTGGTTGTCCTAGCCAGACATCTTTCTTTTGCATTAGTCTCATGTTCTTATACTTGATGATTATGATATCAATGACTCTGATCATGTTGATGTGGAAGATGAACAATACCCATTATTGCCCTCCTCGAGCGGTACATGTCGCATTTACGATGATTTGAGCGATACATCTGCCGATGCAGGTGAGGCCTTCGTGCATGAGGGCTTCTTTGACGAGCCTTCTGCTGAATTTGTCACTGAAGTCGAACCCATTGGTTCCTCTAGTGAGAAGGTTCAGGAAATTCGCCTTAGAAGTGGTAAAATTCTCCCTCCAAGACTATCTTTGCCCAATTCTAAGGATAAGGGAAAGGGAATCATTACCCAAGAAATAGATGACCACCCTGAAGCCCCATCTAGGGCAACCAATCCAACAGAGAACAATAGTCAGACATCAAAAAGACTATCTAGCACCCTAAATCCTAGCCTAGCACGCCATCTACTGAGAAAGTGCATCGACCTAGTATATAAGTGAGGGGAAAGTCTGATGTGTTTGCATGTTGCATATGTGTGGTAGTATGTTAGGGCGTTCTTCTGCAGAGAGTCATGCCTATTTTTATGAAATGACGGGTCCTAACCCTGTTGGATTCTAAAGTTAATATGACCACCCTGTTAGATCTTTAGGAAGGATCTAAAGTCTGAGTATAACATGACTTTGACGGGGTCTTCATATCAGCCTCATCCTAAGAATCTAAAGGATCTAACTTATGTCACCGCTATCCATGTATGAATCACAAAAGTTGGTGACTTAAACATGAAAAGGAAGATTAACATTCACACGACTTAATTCCAATGTATTTACACATCAAACACCTAAACTTCAATTATTATGTATATGCCACCTTATATATGCATGTAAACGTGTATTTCACATTTTAAAAGTTAAAATAGTAGTATTTTGAAGTGATATGAAATATTTGGGTCGTATAGATGTAAAAAGAGCAGTTTAGGTGCTAGATATGTAAAAACATAGGAATCAGGTGGTATGCATGTAAATTTCAAGAACGACAACTACCATAGTTTATAATTAAAAAAAAAATCAAAATAACTTCAGTCTAGTAGCAATAAGCCAATAACTGACAATATAAGAGCTCAGAGGGCAATATATAATATTAATAATAAAATAAATGACAAGAAAGAAAACAAAGGAGAAACAGAAGCATTTTTATTATTTAAAATATGAATTTGGTGATAAAATCAAACCCTAGAAAATCAAGACTATCTTCTCATCACACCCAGCATGCTATGTTCCCAAATAGCTGGAATAAGCCTATGAACATGGTATTTCCATAAAGATACCAAGAACAAGCACAGGAAGAAAAACGGGAATTTTCTTCAACCCAAAAAAAAAAAAAAAAAAAAACTTGAACACTCCAAGGAAAAATCAATAAGGAAAAGTGGGTGATTAGAATTTCACAGTATTCAAAAAAGGAAAAAAATTGCCTCCAGAGAGCTTAAAATAGAGAGAACAATCTATTTCCAACGCTGAATCGAATTCAAATCCTCGCAGTAAATCAAAAGAAACAGAGAGTGAAATCAAGGGCATCAATAAAGATAACACCTTTAGGCCATTCCGGCATGGCGGAAGGTAAGGAGAAAGGCTCCGGCTCGCCGGAGATGATATCATAGATGCCTCCCCTGTTCCAGCAGAAACAAGTGAATGAATCCATCCTCTGCTTCAAATCAAGGAACAGATCGATCTCCCATCGAGCTTCTCCGCCGGGTTTAAATCAATTTCTACGCCACTCATGATCGCTGAATCTGTAACTTTTGGATGGCGATGTATCGGCTTTCCTCTACTTGACGTCTTGCAGAATCATATGGATTAGAATGTAACTAGGGATTGGAAATCAAAGGGGTAATGACATACAGAAATTGAATAAAAAAATACCGTTCCCCGGTTGCTGGACCTTGGAAGCCAAAGCGGAGGAAGAGTCCAAGCTTTCTCTTACTTTTATTTAGAGCTTATCGTCACCAACTATCAAAACCAAAACCTACACCCACATGCTAAGTACCACATAACTAGGAGGAGCTCACTTCTGAGTTGGGGCCTATCATAATTCATGAATAATATAAAATTTTCTAATTAATCTTTTTAAAAATATATTAGTGTAATTTATTAGAATCAAATTGCACAAAATATTTAAACATTTTTTGTTTTAAAATGCAATCCTTTTAAGAGATATTATATTTATTAAACAATATTTTATTTTTGATATAGTATGATTATATTTACTTAATCAACAGCATCATGTATTTTTCATTCAAATATTTTCTTTCCGCCAATTCATGATCCAACCAAATGGAATGATACTTAACGCATGCATTTCAACTACTCTGATCCAATTCTTTAATATCTTCCTAATACAATCCATTAAATTTTCTCGAGACTCATGCGATCACATTTCTATGTGTGTGTTTATATATAATTACATAATCGTTTTTCAATTTGATCTCACTTCATTTTTTTCCTTGATAAAAAATTTGAAGGACTTTTTAAGAAATTCAAATAGTGATTTAGCACTTTATTAAAAAAAAATATAGCTTTTCATAAGAAAAGAAACAATAATTTTTTAAATATTTTATATCTTCAATAAATAATCTGAGTGATACAATTGCGCAACTTCGGATTGTTTAATATGACAAAAACTTTGTGCAAAACAAATTATTTTTATATAAAATAATTTTATAATTACTTCTTAAATAAAATCATTGCAGTAAAATATTGCTATCTATTTAGTAGTACATTTCTTAGAAAGTTGCATCAAAATAAAACTTTATAAAGTAAAAGCATAACCCTCTCATCAAATTTTAGGTAATTTTAAATTTTTAAGAAAATATTTCTTTATTTGAAAATATTAACGTTGTTCCTTCTTTTATTTAGAAAAAATAGACATGCAAATGTGCAGCAGATGAAGGACCAATTATTATATAAATTAATGATTCAAGTGGATGATGGTAAAATAACATCAACATAGATTTATTTTATTTTATTTTATTTTTTAAAATTATATATATATATATATATATATAGATATATATATTTGATGCGATCATGACTTAAATGTCATGTCAATTATTATCATTTCAACAAACAGGAAACTTCACATGTTTTTACATAACCAACACCATAAACTTCAATTTTTACATATATGCCACCGTTTAAAATTCATAATGTTGATAGTTTTGATGTGATGAAAAGTTTGGGCGGCATAAATGTAAAAAAAAAAATCAAAAGAATAGGGGTTAGATACGTAAATATATAAGAATTGTGTGGTATGCATGTAAAAGCCCCAACACAAAAACACACAAGCCAGTGATTTAGAGTTCTTCATGGCTCAACTTGTCTTTACTCAATGATTTACTAAGCTCTTTGCCCACATCTTCAAGACCAACTGAACCTGATTTCACAGCTGCAACAATTTTTCTCTGCAGAGCTAGCAGCCCTATTCGTTTTGAGACGACATACAACACAGCAGATAAGAATAAAACAAAACCGGCCACCATTATCACCCTGTTTAATAAACATTTTAAGCATTAATTGAGCTTATTTGCATCATAATTTATTTCAATTAAGAAATAAGCGTGCACATATCGAGTATCACTAATAAAAAGGAAGTGCAAGAAAGGGAAAATTACCTATCCATGACATCCTGTCGCTGCATTGTGGAGAGTAAGCGCCTGGTATGCATAAGCAGAGAGCGCTGCCCCTTGTACTCGCTTTCAGCCTTCTTTAAAACACCAGTTGATTCCTCTAGAAAGAACATATCGAATTCATTGGTAAAATAAAACTTGATATTCCACATATTTGTGAGAAAATGAAGATTAAGTGTTTATAATATTTTAATGGGGGCTAAAATAGTTCATTAGTGGGACTATTTCAACCCATATTATAAGAGTATGAGGATTAATTTGACATTTTCATAGACTTTGGGACTGAAGTGGACCTTTAAAAAGAGTAAGGTGATCGTTTTGACAGTTTTCTCATTATGGAATTGTTGGGAAAAATAAAGAGAGTTTCTCACAAAACTGTAGAAAACATATCATGACTAAAATAGGAAGCTAAATATTGTGAGAAAGAAACAATTTTCATTTTGGCTAATTGACAAGAGGAGTTTGTAGGCAGACCCCCATGCCTTCCTACAGAGTTCATTGAGAATCATAAATCCTAGCCTCCAAAGCCCATCCTCAAAACCTCAGCATACTGATAAAAACAAATAAAAGAAAACAAAAAATTTGCGGCCTGATTCAAATTTCATCGTGATCAATTTTCTACTCAATTGTATTTACTTTGAGATAAATGCAATACAAGAGTTAATTGAGTAGCTATGTGTTATATGTATCTCAAAGCAAATGAAATAAATAAAAACTTAAAAAATTTGCCATTTATAGTACCCTGACTATTTACATTGGGTCATTTTAGCCCCCGAATTTATAAAGTTCTAAATTAATGCCCACAAGCCAAAAAAGTCTTTATTAAGGACTATTTTAACCTATATTTAAAGAAAATATGGGCTAAATTGACATTTATATAAAATCTGAAACTAAATAGCCTCCTGCAAGGAGACAAGACAACTTTTATACTTTCCTCAAAAACCTTGCATCGACCGAAGAATGAGTTAGGATATCCTCACACAAGTTTTCTAGAAAAAATAAATATTTAAATGATTTATAATAATGTATTTGCAGATGAGCTAATTTGATCAGTAAAAAATGCTTTAACTCCAATAATTTGTTATATGATTTGACCAAAACCTCATTTCAGCTCTACATCCTTCTTTCATACCCTTTCTCCCTCCATGCTCATTTAAATAAGAATCTGAAACGTCCTCCAGGTCTACAAAACAAACGGTATGAACACACTAATGCAATCATTTGGTGGTAAATGAATATCATTGTTGAGCTTGTTTTACCTCCCCAAATATGCACAAGTTCAGAAAAATATTTAGGGATAATTACATGCATAGCACTCAAACTTTTGTTATTTACTAAAATAGCATCCAAGTCATTTTTTGAAATTTCAAACCAGTGCATTTACATCTACCATCATTGAGAATTTGATAAAAATGAAAAAATATGGGTTGGTTTCATTATGAATTTTGATATTGGAATGAGAATTTGAAAAACAGATGAAGGAGAGTGCTAGTTTTATAAATAGCAAAGTCTCAACTATCAAGTGCTATGTATGCAATTGCCCCAAACATTGAATAAGTACAAGATAAGGTTCAAATTGCTAATTTTAGTACTGTAAAGGCAAGAAAGAAGACCTAAAAATGGTAGTGAGAACAAAGAAAACAATCAATTTGTATAGCTTTCTATGTTATTAGAAAGTGGCGATTGTGCAGAGATGACGTTTTCTAAGTATGTTATTTGTTGGAGAAGATTTCTTAGGTGGAAAGTTTGAATTGATTATTTGAGTGAACTTTTGGTTTAATGCATGTGGCTTTTCTGCTCAAAAAGCACAAGAAATTTCTTGCTCTACACAGATGCTCATTGGAGTCAAATGCTGTTTAGCTGCAATCATTGATATAATGTTGTTCTATATTTTTTGTTTGGTCACAGATTCACATTATTGTACTATTACTATATAATTTAGGTCATATTTAAATAATTTTAATATTAATTACATCTTCTGGTTATTAGTTTCCTTGATTCTGAGAAATAAAATCAGTTAACACAAATATTTGGCATAACGCTAATGCTAATGATGATGATTCTGGGAGATAAAATACTGCTATAAACAAAATCACGTTGAAGTGATGCTCCTAATTCCAGATCTTACAGTATTCTCAAAATTACAGTTAGCGCGCCAGGAAGGTTTTAGATTATATAAGGCTTATTGTTCTCATGCTCTAAAGAACTTCATGAAGGGTTGAAGTTCTAATAATCGCGAAAATGTAGAAAACATGACAGCAAATGAAGGAAAAGGTAGCAGTTAATACTAAATTAGTTACCTGTTGTCATTGTAACGTAAAACGGAATGCAAGAAAACAAGCCATAAATCCAAAAAAAAATAAAATAAGAAAACAATTCATGAGGCTGAAAAAAATTACCGGCCCACCAATAAAATGTTGCACACAACCATAAGCATCTTATTAGATGTCAACATAATGAAAAATCTGATGAAACTAGAAATATGTGCCAAGGAAAAAAATTGAGCTTTTCCTCACAGAAAGGGCATGGTATAATGATGAGCAAGTTTATACTAATGAAAGAGAGCCAAATGCAAACCCTAGTAAAATTAAGTTAAAAAATAGAGAAATTTACACACGTCGCACATAATTCTTATGTATTTACATATCTCACACCTAAACTTTGATATTTACATATATAACATTTTGATGTTTTAACCCTATGCGTAGAAAGGTGTATTTCTTTTTAAAATAGTGATAATAGAGCTACTTTTGCTTTGATATTACAACTTTGAGTGTTATGTGCGTACATATGAAAGTTTAGGTGCGAGAAAAGTACATAAGAATTGTGTGCTCAAAGTAACTAACTTCCACCCTTCGCTGCAACAAAGAATCAATAAAGGAACCAATGGGAGTGAGCTTACCAAAAGTTTCCAACGTGCTTACACTTCTTTCCACCTCCTATAAACGTGAAAGCAGAATAAGATAGAAGCACAAAAAAGGAGTTAAACACCTCAAACCCCACAACAATCACCTGAACCATCAATTGCCGTGTTCGTCGAAGGCTTTCTGTAATGCTTTCGGCGGCAGATTCCTGCTTTAGTCCTACAACATAAAAGTAAATACTAAGTCTATTAAATTAACTGTTAAAAGAAAAATGAGTAAAATGAAATTCAACATCATGACCACTTATGTAATTTCTCCATATTTTGGCTTTTTGTTTATACGCTATGGAACACTTATGTTTTAAAACTCAAAGAAAACGTAGAATTGTCATATCACAAATCTCTAAATAAAAATAATTAAACATGTGAATTTGCTTTCTCTTTGAAAAATAATAAATAAAAGAGTTATAAAACAAACACAAACGATACGACGAATAAATCCAACGAAAATTTCAAGAAATTTTCACTATGCACCATCGGTGAGTGATTGTAATTTAATCACAATTAGAAATCTATTAGACTAGCACTTGCGATGCTATCCGCCACGCCTAGCTCGTCAAATAATTTGAAGACTTATTTTAGGTGCAAGGCTAAAAGGGCAATTTAATCACTTGTTAGTTATTATTGCTTGGTATAAATAGGGTTTAATATGATTAGGGATAGGGCATGTGATTGTTATCTAGAACCTTAAGAGTTAGGGTTTAGGAGAGTCTCGTCTACCTTTTCACATGCCCTAATATATTATCTCTGTAGAAACTTGTATCATTCCTATCAAATTGGTATCAATACCATACTTGATAGTAATGACGGACAAAAAAGTCAATGCTTTGGAGGAAAAATTACAGGGAGATGTGAGCCAAATTAAACTGAGAATGGAGGTGCATTTCATGTCCATATTGGAGTTCCACGCAAACTCTCCACTACCTTTGGCGGAATCGAGTGACGGTATTTGGAAGGGATTGCCTGACATTAGGGGCAGCGTCGTTGCCTAAAGAAGATTTGGGGTTGCGGGATTGAGCGACGCGTCATAAGTGGACTTGAGCGGCAGAAACGACATCAGGAAGCCTGAAATGAGTAGACATAGGCAAATAACTTGCGACTCGAGCCTGGAGAAGACCTATTTCAAAGCATTTAGACAGGAGGGATCACGCGAAACAGGAGGGCTGAAGCGAGAGGTGAAATACAGAATGGGATGGTGGCGTGCAATTCAAGGCCGGAGAAGTTTGAATCAGATGATTTCAATCTGGAGCAGGGAACCACAATAGGACTGCATCCAATTGCATCAATGTTTTTTGTTGCGTAAATCGCAATAGCATTTCAGGCAAAAGCCAATTCAGAAGCCTATGGGGAAAGTCGAGTTGAGTATGAGGTAAATATGAGGTAAGCCAGACTAATGGAAGAAGGAAAATTAATATGGGCAAAGAAAAGAAACAAAACTACCGCTCCATGGGTGGAACCAGCTTCATTAGTGGAAATTAGGGAGGAGACTCACCCATAAGGAAGCTGAAGATGTTGATATTTGAAAGAGAGGATGCCTATGGTTGAGTTTATTGAGTCGAGCGATACTTTTTTGTTAATCAGCTAACGAAAGAAGAAAAATTGATGGCAGCGGCCCTATGTCCGGAAAGGAAGGCTCCAGCATGATACCAATATAGAGACTAACATCAACCAATCAAAATATGAGAAGAATTCAAGGATTGATTATTGGAGTGTTTCACAACCATGCAAGAAGGGGATCTGCAAGTGTAATTTTTTTGCATTGGTTCAATAAGGGTCCGTCGTGAAATATAGAGAGAAAGTTTAGAAGCTATCTGGCCATTTGGGGGAGATAGTAGAAGCAATGTTGAAAGGAAACTTTATAAAAGGTGAGGCCAGAAATTTGAACAACACTTCATCTACTGAGTTGGCAAGGACTGAGAAACAACTATGAAATTGGTGAAGTTAGTTGAGGATAAAAACGTAATGAAAGGCTAATAAGAGAAGCACAAGTGGAGCGCCATACAAAAATCTTGTAATCATGGCAATACCAAAAAATTAAACGGTGGGATTTCAAAGGTAAGCTCCACGGGTTAGGAATAATGAGCTACGAGAAAAGGGGGAACATTCAAATGTCTTACAGAGACAAAAATTCAAGAGAAGTGAGTCAATATGATATATTTTTTATGCGATGAGAAGTTTGCCTCAGGACATGTTGCAAGGATCGAACATTGTAAATTCTCACAATGTGTGACAATGAGACGGGGGATGAAGAAGCATAAGAACTTGTGGTGGAGAAGGAAGAGAAACACGCTCACTTGGATGTGATAAAATCTCATTGAACTCGGTGGTGGAGTTAACACAGAATCACACTATAAAAATTCGAGGACAGATAAGAGAACAAGACGTGGCGGTGTTGCTAGATAGTGGTGTCACCCACAAATTCATCTCCAATCAAGCAATGGAACAATTAGAGCTTGAGATGGTTGACATAGAAAATTTTGCAGTAATGATGAGAATAGAATGGGTAGAGAATAGCAGAGGAGTTTGTGAATGATGGAGGGTGATTTTGGGACCGTAAGGTATTCAAATGATGTAGAATTTCATCACTTATATTTAGAGAGCGCTAACATGATATTGGGTATAAAATAGTTGCAATCCTTAGGGGAGAGACTAAGATGAATTGGAAACTCCTAACAATGTGATTGCATGAGGGAGATAAGACAGTGGTGCTTCTCGATGACTCTAATTTGTGCAAGACCATGGTTAGGGCAGGGCAATTTAGGAAGCGAGGTTGGGGTTCTTGATCTAGTTACATAACATGGAAGAGATATGATACGGAATTGACAAAGATTTTGGCACCGATCCAATAGCTCTTACAACAATTTGCAGAAGATTTCCAGTTGTCGCATAGATTTTCGCCTTGAAAGGAACATGAGCATGTGATAAGCCTGAAACTAGTTGTTTCTCCCATCAGTGTACACTCATACCACTACCACCAAGTGCAGAAGGATGAGATTGAGAGATTGATCAGAGACATGTGGGAGGCCAAGATCATACAACCAAGTTTGAGCCTCTTCTCTAACCCAACCTAGCTGGTGAAGAAGAAAACTGGGAGTTGGCATTTTTGTGTGGATCATTAGGCAGTGAAAAATGTAATAGTACCAAACAAAATTTTCATCCTGATGATTAATGAGCTAATTGAAGAGTTGTTTGGAGTTGTGGTATTCTTCAAGATCAACTTGAAGTCAGGATACTACCAAATCTGGATGCGGCTAATATATGTGCAAATGTTTGCATTTCAAACTCATGAGGATCACTACAAAGTTTTGGTTATGGCATTCAGGCTCACTAATGCTCCAACTACATTTTAATCACTGATAAACAAAGAGTTTTAGTTCCTCAAGAAGTTTGTGTTGGTGTTCTTTAATGATATTTTAGTGTGTAGTTGTTCCTTAGAAGACCCCAATTATCATTTGAAGGTGTTGACGGTATTCGATGAGTACCAACTCTACGATAACTTAAGAAAGTATTCCTTTGCCCAACTGAAGGTGGAGTACTTGGGACATAAAGTGTCGGCTGCAGAGGTGTCAGAGGATTCATCGAAGGTGGCGACAATCTGGATTAGCCACTACCTAAGAAGGGTTGAGAGGATTTAAGGGACTTACATGATACTATAGAAAGTTCGTGAAAGGTTACAATTAGATTGTGAGACCGTTGATAGAGAAATTGAAGAAGATAACTTTCAACATGGGGAAGCAGCAACCCAAGCTTTTGAGAAGTTAAATAAGGTCAAGACAAGTGTATCAGTGCTGACATTACCTGACTCCAACCAACTATTCATCGTAGAGATGGATCCTCCAAGCTATGGATTAGGCGTAGTCCTCATACAGTGCCAAAGACCCATCAATTATTTCAATTAAGTATGGGAGAATGTGATAACGAATTTTATTGAAGGTTTACCTCGTTCAAAAGAATTTATTGTTATCTTAGTGGTGGTGGACCAATTGAGCAAGTACGCTCATTTTGTCCCCCTACACTGCTAGTTTTACCGTCGTTATTTTTATACAAGGTTATCCATTTGCATGAGATTCCATAATCGATAGTGTAGGATCGACACAATGTCTTTTGAGTCATTTCTAAAGGGAGTTATTTAGAATACAAGGGAACATACTAAACAAAAGTATAGTGTACGACCTACAGATTGATAGACAGACTGAAATTGTTAATTGAAGTGTGAAAACCAATTTGCATTGCTTTATTTCTAGCACACCCCAGCAATGGGATAATTGCTATCCTGGGAATAATATTGGTATAATACTCCATATCATACAACTTTTCAGACCACCCATTCTAAAATCTTATATGGTGTGATCTACCAAATTTTGTGCATTATGGACAGTACCACGCCGATGTCACTGGTGGATCAGTACTTAGAAGAGAGGGTAATGTGTTGGCGAAACTGAAGAGATTTTTATTGAAGACTCAACAATTTATGAAAAAACAAGTTGATGGACAACGAAGGGATGTAAATTTTTTTGTGGGAGATAGGGTGTATCTAACAATTCAATCCTATCGACAAAAGACATTGGCAAGATGCAGGAATGATAAGCTATCTCAACGCTATTTTGGTTCTCATGAGATCACAAATCGCATTGGTGAGGCGGTTTATCATTTAAATGTGTCGCCTTCGTCAACGCTTCATCTAGTGTTCCACGTATCACAGCTGAGATGCTCTATTAATGAAAATGTGCCCTCTTCTTTACTTCTCCTACCTTGACTAAGGATATGAAAAATTCTCTTGGAGGCACTGGAGTTAAAAAGGGTGCGTCAGGAATGCATAGGTGGGAAAGAAGTATTGATTCAATGAAATGGGTTGCCAGATATGATAACCCGTGGAAGACATAAGACTTGATCCAACAACAGTTTTTTTCTTTTCCACCTTGAGAACAATGTGCCTTATTTGAAGGGAAGTAATGTTACATTGGCACTAACGACGCTTTTTGTCATGCCAAACACACCAAATAATTTGAAGACTTATTTTAGGCAAAAGACTAAAAGAGCTATTTAGTCATTTGTTAGTTATTATTAGTTGATACAAATAGGGCTCACTATGATTAGGTTTAGGGCATTTGATTGTTGCCTGAAATCTTAGGATTTAGGATTTGGGAGATAATCACCTATCTCTCAAATTGAAAGCTTATCTTTTATGCATTTAGTATTGTGTTGTTTTATTTTGAAACAGGTGGAATAAAATACATTATTTCAGCCCAATTTTTTGTGAAAACTTGTCTCGTTCCTATCAATTTTCACTTGAGGTTAAAATTTAACAAAGCCAAAAGCATTTGAAAACCAATAAAAAGTTATTCCAAAAAAAAAAAAAGCGAATCAAAGAAATAAAATGTCTAACTAGGAAATTCAAGCATCAAGCTAGTACAACAAGATAACATCACTCAAAATTAGGTAGTTCACTTTTACCCATTTAAGGGAATCATACATCCAATTTGCACATAAAACATTAAAGACCGGAAAAAGAAATGTAACTTAAAATTATCATATTACATGTCTTAGCCTATCAATTTATAGACTCCTCATCCCTAAATCAATAAATATAGTTGTCACAAGATAATCGCAATATGATTCCAAATAACTATCCAACTCAGAATTAAAATCTGATCCAAAAATGATAATTAAAATAGTTTTTTTTTTCTTTTTTTTCTTGCTGCAAACAAAAGCAAACCTCCCCCAGTAAATTCTCTGGAACCAAAATTCTTAAGTTGAAAATGACAAAATCAAGCGACGTAACAATGCTCGCAAGAAAAGGCCATCGAAAAATTATAACAATAACATGACCAGCAAGGAATCACACATCACAAGGGATGCTTCAGTTATGCTTTAATCTACCTAACTTGAAAAAGTCCACACTAATAAATTTAGCATTTGATACTTATCAACAATATTAGAGCATAAATTTTCAGCATCTTATAAGGTAATGAATGACTCATCACGAGCAAATATATCATAACAGTGAACAAGTTTTCTTGAAAATCCAACATAAACAGCGCACACATAATATCATCATCCAGCATACCCTGAGGAGCAATTGGTGAATCATCTAATAAAGGTTCTTGTGTAATCACACAAAAGAGTTGGAAAATAAATCCAATAAATTGACAATAGAAACATGAAATAAAATTAAATAAAATTTTGAATAATGCTAGAATATCCTAAAACAATTTGCAGGCATGAATTCCAATGCATTGCAAGATTTTACATAACTGTTCTTTTTGCATTAATTTTTTAAAAGTTCTTGAAGGAAACATTTTCTAAATTTTAAACACATTATTTTATCATCAAGTTTAAACTCGAGTATATAGCATCCACATCAACATAAAGTTTAACTGTCAAAAACAATATCAACTATGTTGTGAATGTCCTAATGCAATTCATCCAAATCATGAAAATAATATCAAACAAATATTACAATGCTTTGCAAGGAATAAAATTAATAACCCATAATTAATTCGTAGAAGATGAAATGCTAATGCATGTTGACCTCATTTTTGGTGAGGTCTAGTCTTCCTCTTAGGGTTTAGGATCTAGCCTTAGGGATCTCCCTTCGACTATCTTAGAACCTTAGAAATAGGACCCGCTTCGTTCTAGAAATTCAACCCACTTTTGTTCTCTTTTGGAGTTTCGCGTGTGTGGTATCGACTTCTAGCACTTAGAAGGGTGAAACCGACATGAGGAAACTCAAAAGGGATCCCTATAGAACCTTCCTGAGCCTTAGGGTGGCCTTTTGCACAATTCGCACTCCCGCGCACAAAACTTCGCAATTCGGAGAGTCGATGCGTCCGATCGCCACAATTCGCATTGCTTGCGCTGTTACCCGTCGAAGACTCGAATAAACCTTTTGAAACGATCGATCACGGGTCGAAATTTTATGAAATTTGAATTTTGACGCGTTTTTTTTTTGACCCGATTGTCGACGACGTCGTCCGAGCGACCCCGGATGACAAAACGGACTGCACCGGCACGTCCGGAGCTTCGATTTTGCCTAGGGAGGACACTCATTTTGTTACGACGCCACGCGCGAGTAAATCATATATAATTTAATATATATATATATATATATATGTGTGTATATATATATATA